GCCACCGTGCCCAGCTAATTTTTTGTATTTTTAGTAGAGACGGGGTTTCACCATGTTGACCAGGATAGTCTTGATCTCTTGACCTCGTGATCCACCCGCCTCGGCCTCCCAAAGTGCTGGGATTACAGGCTTGAGCCACCGCACCCGGCCCAAAGCAGTATTTTTAAATGCAGTCTGCTCTTCAACCAAAATTCAAAAAGGCTCACCAAGCACTGTACCTCTATCTTAGTGCTGAAAGTTGCAAGTAGAGCAATGTGTTTATTTCTTTGGAAGAATGTCCTAATATATTCTGGGTTGCTGGATATCTTCTAAGTTGACCAATATCATGGGAACCTAAATATTCATTGGGTTTATCTCTTACCCTCTGATATGCATGTATCTTACTGGGTCACCTAGGGTAGTAACATTTCCAATAAACATGGCATCGTCAATACAGCAGACAAGTCAGATACTGTGAGGTTTTGCAGAAGGTCAACATGATAGAAATCCCTACCTATTATATTACAACAGGGAACAGGAGAGTTAACAAAACAGTGAAACAGTGAGTATGCAGAGTTGCCCCTCTAAATGTAAAGACAGATTTCTTTTAATCATTTTTGCCAGTGGAAATCTAGTCAATAAACATTTTCTGTAAAGGGTCATACGATAAATATTTTCAGCCGCATGGTTCTGTTGTAATTATTCAACTCTGCTTTTGTAGTCTGTGGTCATATTTGGCCTATGAGCTATAGTTTGCCTACCCCTGACTTAAAAAAAAAAAAAGTGGTTTCCAGATTAGTAGCTGCATATAAAATGCCAAAGACTGGGTTGATCTTCTTCATTAAAGGCACCATATTTTGTCTGCCATGCAGACAAAATATGAAAATGCTCCCTATGCAGCCTTATATCTGTCTTCCCACTCCAGGCCAATGCCCTCTAGGTCTCCTTCCACATGTGTTCCAGGTCCTGCAAATCCCTTTCAGTATAGGCTATTCCTCCTGGAGCAGAGGTTGTACTTCCCTGATCAGACTGTGCTGACAATTGATTCTGGTCATTGGCCTGGCACTAATGAGACTTGGCTCTGGAAGAGCACTAGTGCCATATTGCAAAGCACCTGCCTTAAGCGGTGTCATTTCGTTGTCTCCAGGAAAGGGGAGACTGTTCTCCTCAGGCAAGTTGAAATCAGTTGCTTCTGCCCTCCTGGGCAGTTCAGGGACATCTCAGAGTTCAGAATTCTCAGGATAATTTACCCAATCCAAATATCTCTAATTCAAGTTAGGGGTCCCACTCTTTTCCCAATAGGGCATTAACTCTGACAGATGAGATCGCTGAGACTATGCCTTGAGTCACCTGTGCAGCTCTGCTACACTGAAAACTAGATGCTGGGTCTGCTTTTCAGCAGTCTGCAGGAAGTGAGTCTCCTTCAAAGTTGCCATAGAACACTCTGACTCTTTAAGAGTGTTTTTACTTGGCAGTTGGCCATCATAAGCGTCTCATTTTCTTGTGCCAAGTCTTTCAATGCAGTTAAGAAACATTCCCCTCAAAAATTCGCATAATTATCATTGCCCTCAAAACATTCAGGTACAACATATCCTAGTGCCACATCTTATGCCTGCACCTCACTCCCAGTTATTCTCAGGTCAAGGGGAAAAAATGACATAGAGGTATGGGGTAGGAACGCAGAGGAAGCCAAATGGCCATATGCAAATTAAAAACTTAGGACTTCTGAATAAATTGGGCTAGAGATGTATTTTGTTTGGCAGGCTCAACTTCCAGAAAAAATCTGAATTTAAATATCTTTAGACAGAGCATGCATTTTCCTCACTTGCCACAGTTCCTGTCAATGACGACAGTGTTACTCCACATGTTCTCCTTCCCTGCCTGACTTCTGAGGGGATTTGGACTTAGCATCTCTGGATGTGAGCATTACATCTGGTAAGAAAACATAATGAATTTATCTAGCTCAAGTTTTCAAGAGCAGTTACTCTCAGCAGCCTCCTGAAAACAAGCGAGCAAAGGCCTAGATTCCCTGAGCTCCTTTGAGATTTCCAGCACAGGCAAGCAGGGGAAGCAACAGGGTTAGCTGATTCCCAGAACCCTGGGCACGAGCTGGAAACAGGAGAAATCTCTTTTTAAGAAAATGCTTAACACTTTCAGGGGATGAGAAGGCACTGAAATATCTTTATGCATAAAGAGATTTCATCTTAATTCTGATTAAACAAAATGATGTTGTACCTGGTTCTCTTCCCTACCACGTTTTTAGTGGCCTTCAATTTGGTCATCATTTTCCCCCATTCCCAAGTGAGATAAGAGTTAGAGTTGTTGTATCGTCAAAGCAGAGCTCGAGGTTTATCATCTGTGCACACCAATAATGTGGTAATGCCATTCTTTCTGTTAAGTGAATCATCTAGATTTGTAAGAGATGTTGAATTTCTTGAACTCATTCTGAAATAGACAATAGATACCATAGACATTTTATTAGAAAATTTATATCATAGATATATTTATTGAGGCTCTCTCTGTGCCAGGCATTATGTTGGGCTCTGTTGATGAAAAGAGAGTTAAGATATGGGTTGCTGCTCTTGGGGAGTTCAGAATCTAGTAGGAAAACACATGATATCATGTGAAGTCTAAGCAGAGTGTATGGAGACACCAAGGAGGGAGAGGAGGCTTCAATCAGGAAGTGACATATGTCCTGAACCTTGAAGGATAACTTGCTCCTGAGGCAGAAGTGGGAAGATGGGTTGGCAGTTCAGAACAGTGAGTTGGGGACAAGATGTAGGACTGCTTGCCCTCTTGTCTTACTGAGCTGCCTTGACCCCTATCACTCCTGTTGAGCACCTCACTTTGCGTATTACTGCAGCTACCTTCAACAATCTCTGATAGACTCTGCCTCCCCACACCTCTGAGATGGGCAAATTATACCAACTGTCTGCAGGTAGGAGCCAGTCACCAATGCCCTGGACTGGGCACATGGGAGCTGGCTGAAAATCCATCCCCAGCTGTAAATTTTAAGTGTAACATCGTACCAAGACATCCATCAGTAAAACACCTACAGATTCCTCATTTTCCCATTCTCACATGCTTGGAGATCAATGGGCAGGAGCAGGAATAAATTATTAAGATATCACACTTTTCCAAGCAACTGGAAAAAAAGCTGTATCTGAAGAGCTGTGGGTGATCAGAATAGCTGAGTAGGTACTTGGGTGATGAGGTGTATTATCAGGGAAATAGTTGTTTCATCTTTATGGTAATTTGATAATGAATGGCATTTTCTACTTCCATTGACTCCATGTTCTCAATCAGTGGTATTGTAGTCTGATATGCACACAATGGAATTGCTTTGTGCTTAAGAAAAATTGATGCATGGACTCCATCGTTTAAATCAGAATCTCGAAAATTGGGATCCAGATATCTGTATTTTGAAGGCTGCTCACAAGGTTGTTATTGCAACCAGGGTTGATTACCACATTTCTAGACCAACAGAGAGATAAAAGCGGAGCTTACATTCATGGAACAAGAACCCTTTATTGGCATCTTCCCACTTTATGTAGATAAAGCCTCCATAACAACGACATTGAAAGTAATCAGAATTCTTCTTGGAGGACCATTCACTAGTTTGACAGATATACTTTGATAAGCTGCTGGGGGTAAAGGGTAAGACCTCTGAGGGGCATGCTTAGGGAACAAAGTAGTTCCCAAAATCTATACATATGAAAAAGAGAGAAATTAGATGGCCTTTGAGAGACCCAGGAGAAAATGCCAAAAAGGGGGATAGGGAAAAAAAGGGCAAAGCAACCTGCTGTGAGCCTCCAAATTTTCCACGGCCTGAATTCCCAGTGCTTGGGGTAAGGATTTCAGTGCTGAGGGTGACATTGGCAGTGTGAAACAGGAGCTGGAAGATCAAGACTGTCTCTGCAGAGGTCTGGGTCTCAACCATGGTGATGGCAAATATGTTGTTTAGACATTCAGGAGTAAGGGGAAGTTGAAAGATACTGTCACATTGTGACAAAAGAGAATTTGCTGATGTCGGTGATCACCTTGGTGACAGGCTCACAGCTAGAACTGCATTTATGAGGTTCTGTAGAGAGCCACTGTGACCCAAAATCCCCCTCTAGGGTGGATAAGCCTGGACTTCCCAAGAGTGTTCCGTGGAACCTGAATTCTAAAGAGGGTACATGAAAATAATCAACATGGGTTCCATGATCAAAGAAGTTTGGGAAATGGGCTAAATGAAAGGACTTCCAAGACCTTTAATTTGCTAATGAGAAAGGTGATGTTTCTAGAGGCGGGATATAGACTGCAGCTCTCTCTGCATGCTCTCATGAAATATCTCAAAGAAGCAGAATTCCCTAAAAGTCACTTT